AAACTATTGAGTTCATTTTTGGCAGAGAGCTGACCTACACGGCGGTCCTGAGTGACCAGCGTGTGGTGGAGCTGATCCCCAATGGCAGCAGCACCGTGGTGCACTATGAGGACCGTAAGGAATTCATCCGTTTGGTGCAGAGGGCTCGGCTGGAGGAGAACAAAGAGCAGGTAACACCATCCCCCACGGCCGGCATGGCTCCAAGGGGGACCTGCTCCTGTGGCAACCCCTCCTGGTACCTGTGGGGTTGGTGGCTGCAAAAACATGTCCCCAAAACAAGCTCCAGCTGGATGGTTCCTCCAAGCATCCTATGCCCAGGATGTCCATGAGCCCCACGGGCCTCCTTTGGGGCCCTGTGATCCCTGCCCCCAGTGTCCTGTGTGCCCTCTGGGCTCAGACCCACCACACTGATGTCAGGTCCCTTCTGTGCTCCCCCAAAGATCGCAGCCATGCGTGCTGGGCTGCTCTGCGTGGTGCCCCAGCCCGTGCTGGACCTGCTTACCTGGCAGCAGCTGGAGAAGAAGGTCTGCGGGGACCCTGAGATCACAGTGACTGAACTGCAGAGATTCAGTAAGTGCCAGAGCCGGTCCAAAGCTGCTCCCAGCCCCCTGTGTGGGCAGGGTCCCATCTTGATGACACTCATCCTGGGCATGCATCCTGCCCCACGCTGAGTCCCCTGGTTGTGGAGTGCCTAGGAGCCTGGGGGAGGGTAAGCCAGAGGGACCCTGGGCAGGGATGCTTCAGGTTTAGCTGCAAACCCCACCAGTTCCCACTCTGGTGCATCTGTTCCTCGGCTGCTATGGGCAGAGGCTGTTGGCCACGCTACAAACCAGGGTTTTTTTGTGGAGGGTGCCAGTCCTGCTCAGAGGTGGTGGCAGGCTTTCAGGGGCTCACTGAGAGCGGACGCTTTCCTCTCCTGCTTCCACTCTGGGCTCTCACAGAGTGGAAGGATGGACATGTCCCATGCTAGTTTGCTTTGCTGGGAGTTTCTGATGAAGCCGTTGCACGTTCTTTGTCACAGTCAGATTTGAGAGCTTCCCCCCTGACGACCCCCGTGTCCAGAACTTCTTGGAGGCACTCAACAACTTCACCAGTGGTGAGTGGACCTCAAGCCTTTCCTTGCTCTTCACGTGCAGCAGCGTGAGCTGGGGACAGGGTATCCACTGCCCTGTGCCCCGAGGATGCTCACTAGGTGCTTCCTTGGCAGTCAGCTGGGGTTTTCCTGCCTGCCCCTTCCCAGGATGCTGAGAGCATCCTCTAGCTTTGCCCCATGCTCCTGAGATGCTCTGCAAGGGCAGATCTTGCCATGATGGCTGTGACTGGGATGGTCCTGTCCCTTTCCCTGAGACCTGAGTCTTGTCCTTCCCTTCAGAGGATCTCAGACGCTTCCTCAAGTTCGTCACTGGCCGGAGCCGCCTTCCAGTTCAGATCAGTGTCCAGCCGGAAAGGTCAAACGGTTCTGCCTGGGCTGGGGTCCCTACACCGGGCTGGGGTCTCTGTGTGGTGTGAGGTCCCTGTACTGTTCCAGGGTCCCTGTGCCATACTGTAGTCTGACTCTCTGTCCTTTCTCCCAAGCTCGGACACATTGGACCGGATGCCACAGGCCTCCACGTGTTTCTGCACCCTCTACTTGCCCAGCTATTCCTCGTGAGTCAAGCTGGGAACAGGGATGCTCCCCCTCTCCCTGGGGCTGGCATTGGGGTCCCCTTCCAGGTTCCCCATGTCCTGCCCTGGGGGATGTCTGAGTGGGGCATCCAGGGAGGGAACCATGAGGATCTCAGTGTCTGTCATCACCATGACCCAGTGTTTCCCCTTGACTAGGGCCAAGGCCTGTGAAGAGCTGCTGCGATACGCCGTGTACAACTGCATGTCCATTGACACTGACAGGGACACCTGAGATGAATGAGGCCCCCCAGGTGCCCCATGCTATGGGAGCTGCCCATCCCAGGGCACTGGATTCAATAAAAGTGCAGGGCTGGACCCTGCTGTCCTGCCGCAGGTCCTCTTTGTG